GACCTCCTGGCCCAGCTAGATGATCAACACAGCCGCTTCGCCCTGGAGAACAACTTCCTGCTGCAGCACAACATTCGCAAGATCAAGAGGAACCTGCAGGTTGGCACCTGGAGTCTTCGGACTGAGCTGTGCCAGAGTCAAGCAGAGACACACGATTTTATTCTCTGTGCGATGTGTTGCATTGACTGATAGTTGTAGTGATAATCTATTGGTTCTGCAGGATCGGTTCCAGGAAGATCCCGTCCACATGGCCATGATCATTTCCAGAAACCTGAAAGAGGAGCAGAAGATCCTGGCCAATGCAAAGAGTGCTGAGGTAAAACCTGCTGCTCAGTGAGCCCTGATTTCAGAAGTCGGAGTTTATTTGCATCTGCCTTCAGGAGATTCTTGTCTGTGTGGGTAAAAGCTGAAAGTGACTTTCTTTATATTAATTAATTAATTAATTGATTAATTAATTAATATTGCACTTTTCAAAGCCAGGGTTACAAAGTGCTTAAGAGACGCATAAAACCTTAGCAAACATAAAACAGAATACACAACACACAATCAGAAAAAGTGCCAGAACAGCACTGGAAAGTAACAGATAAATAAATGTTTGCCTTTGTTTGTGCAGCAGGAGGGTGAGGGGACTATGATGGCCATGGTGGTGGAGAAACAGAGGCAGGACAAGAAGGTGCAGGAGATGAAAGACCGAGTCCAGGTGAGGCAGTGACCTGTATTTCTGATGTGACTCACCTGAGGATCAGATTGTAGCACAGGAACAGTTCCAGCTAATATCACCTCTAATGGACCCAATTAGGTGGTCAGGTTATTTCTACACACTTTGTAGTAAGGATTCAAAAATATGCAGCGATGAAATGATACAATAAAGCTGCAATCATCTTCTTCAGATTGTGGACCAGAACATTAAGAACCTAGAAGACTTGCAGGATGAGTATGACTTCAAAATCAACACGCTGAAGAACAGAGGTGAGGAGTTTTATTGGCAGAGGAGTGTTTCCAAGCAGCATGTTTTAAAGGTGTTTTGTGTCTACAAATACACATGGAAAACATCATGAGCAGCGTCAGTGCCCAGGAAAAGATTCCAGCCGCTGTACTATTTAAAATACATTACTGCCTAAAGGCCTAATTTGTTTTCCTGTTTTTGTAGAGAATGAAGTGAACGGAATGACACAAAAGGAGCTGGAGAAAGAGAAGATGGACCTGGAGAGGATGTGCATCGAGCTGAAAGCCAAACGACGGGTGAGCAGAAAAATGAATCCAGGACCTTGTAAACCCTTTTGAAAGGTTTGGGTAAATAATGGGAAATGTAGATGAGAGTCAATAATAATAATAATAATAACATCAGCTTTGAGTTTTGGACAATCTCAACATAAATCTTTTAGTTCTGTGATAAACATTACATGTATTTATTCAGATATTTTTCTTCCTTTACCTTTCTTGTAAATGACTGAAAATATATGTTTTTATACCATACAATGGTCCTGTCTTTGCCTCAGACAGGACCAGACATCTTAAAAAAAGCTCACAAAAACAAAAAAATGATTATGAGTAGATTAAAAAAAAAAAAAAAAAAAAGAAAACCTGAGGGGTATACT